GACAGTAAAGAAACTGGTCTCTATTGCCCATCCTTTTAACAGCCAAGCTAACAATAACAATCAAAAAACAACCAAGTAAAAGCTAAAGTATTGCACTACAAAAAGGCGGAAAATAAAACACTACTCTCGTGCACTATTGAAAATGGGATAGGTGGAGATAAAAAATTGCACATCTATTGCGGTAAAACAGGACAGTGGACGTCACACACTAAAGCTAGTCAGATATAAGTCCACCTTCTTGGGGCATTCTCTTTATATGTCGGTGTAGGGAAACAAACGCATCGTTGCCCCACATTTTGATCTGGACGAAAACTACCTATGGAATCGGTCCAATTAAAAAGAGTCAAATTCAGGCCTTCTATTCGCCCTTAGTGCCAACTGAACACCAACACTACTCCTATTGGGCGAATGCCAATCCCAACAAACAAACACACACACATACACTCACATTCACTGCCATGACTCTGAGCTGATGCTTTGAAATTGTCACAGTGGAAAAAAAGTCAGAAAGCTAGAAGCGAGTATTTTGTTTCTTTACCCTGCCGAACATTCCAAATCAGACATCCTTACTATGCCTTTTTGTCTCTCGAGACATTCTAGGACAACTTGTACGAAGCTCCTGGTGTTATTGTTATAATGAGGCGTCTTCAAAGTCCTAAAGAACTTTAACAGCTGGCAGAGACAGCCCAGAGACACCCTTTCCTCTCTGTCTTGAGTTTACTTTACTGTTTACACTCCCAGACGGCCGTGTTCCAAGAACACGAGGCCATGCTGCGGAGCAAAAGAATGTCGGACATATCGTAGTTATGCACAGGGGGAGCAGGGCATCTGGTGGAAATTTTAATCAGACATGGCTCAACCAACGTTAAAAATTCGGCCACATTTCAGGAAGGCTAACAGCTCAGAGCACGGCCTCAGAAACACACAGACATGCAAATGCACACGACACCTTCCACTGATTGACTATAAAGGGAAGCCTTGATTTTAAATAGGGCAATCTTAATCAGCCTTTAGATATTCATTCTGAAATTGCCATAAATGACCTTGATTTAAAAGCATCAATTTCATCAATCAACTCTAATCAATGACCTCAAAAAATAACTGGACTGCCTGACCATGTATCTCACTGCAGGGAAGCATTGTTGCCGGAAGATGGCCATGTCATCAGCTTGGTAGAGGAACTAGCATTGCTAAATGAGAATTATGATGGCGATGGTCTTTTCTTTTCTAATCAATGGAAGTGCCTCTGTATTCCCATTATGCAATTTGTTCAACATGAATTCAGGTTATTTTCTCACATATAAGCTATAGAGGAGGGAGAAATTTTTATGTCTGGAGCGAAACAAGTGACAGCTCACTAATCACAGACATCTTTATATATACAGGAGATATCCATATATATTTATATATACATTTTTTTGTTTTGCGTAATAAGCTCAGTGGCAGTCTAGTTATTTTCTGAAGTATGACAGAGTCATGAGTCATCTTAACAAATTAGTCATTTGTTCAGAAGTACCAGTCCCAATACCTAGTTGTATACTCACCACAAGAAAAGTCCAACAAGAAAAGTCCATGAAAAAAAAGCTATATAAATTGCATTTCTATAGGAAACAGTAGCAGTGGTATTGAGGAGAAAGATACGGCTTTTAATTTTTTTTGTGTTTGGATGGGAAGTATTTGTAATTGAAAAATAATGTATGTTGATTGAGCCATGTGCAATGCCTTGGGTAGAAAAATGTGTTTGTCTGTTAGATTGTTAGAGGGTGTAAAAGAAGAGGGGAGAAAAAAAATCCTTCTATTATCGTTTCAAGTCCAAAAGGTCCGGGACTCTAAACTACAGGGCGGAGAGAAAAAAAAGAAGTCTTTGTAAGTTTTGGGAATTGTTTTTTAATCTTTCCTTTTATTTTTGCTTTTCTAATGTTTATTTGTAATAATTTGTTCTCAAAACTTGGGAGGGCTGAAGAAACAGTTTTGCAACACATCAAAATATATATCACTAAATGAAACTGGTGCTTTTTATGGAATAAAGTACATTCAGACTCTATTATACATAAATAAGAAAAAAACAAGTGTTATCATAAAGCAAATTTTAGGAAAAAAAAACATGCATTACTCTATTTCTTGTTTTGTATTTACTAAAGGGGGAGGGGTTCATTTTAGTCGAGGTTGTGACAAAAGGCATTTTTCTCCCAACCTTTTCTTATAGAGGGTGGATCAAATCTACAGTGTCAACAAATATGTACAAAGTGTTGAAAAGCGAATGCTTAAATTGAAAAATGCTGAATGCTGAAACAGCAGAAATTTACATTTGGCAGCCGCCTTTGGTTTGAGTGGCCCAGTGTCACATGAATTACAAACCATGACAGTTCCTAGTCAGTTCTGTTGAAGACATTATCCCGCTCAAAGCTAGTGCTTTGTTGGCTTTTGTATATAGAATTTTTCAACCATTTTCAAACTCAATGACAAGATCTTCCCTTTTCTTGGGAGATGCTGCGAAATAGCTCGAATGCCCTTGAAACCAGCCGAAATAAGCGTGAATAAACGTGTGAGAATGTGGAGACGTGATGTGAATTCTTTAATGGTAGCTATAGTTGATTAGTAGACTCCCATCTCATGCCAAGCACTGGTGGAAACCAATCTGAACAATATTTCGATAGCTGAAAATGTTTTGAGTTACAAGGTGAACCCCACCCCCTCTCCCCCAGCAACTCCCCCCCCCCTCCTGGTCCCCACTGTAAATTACTCTAAATATTTGTTTCGTGATGTAGTGTTAGACTCAGAGCATCTTAAAGGTTGTCCCTAAAAAGTGCCTTTTGTTCACAGACTCCATCTTGTAATCCTGAGTGCCCGTCTCAGAAAAGCCCCCCCCTCCAACCCGCTCTTATATTCTCTCCTTCTTCGAGCTCTTCGAAGCAGTATATATAGTACTAAAGGAAATTGGTGTGACTTAGTTCCTCTTTTTATTGTTGATAATTAAGAAAAATGAAAAAAAAAGACAAAAAAAAAGTCCTTTCTGTCTTGCTTTTCCTTCCTCTGTACTCTTCTGCCTCTCTTGGACACTGGAGTAGTCTGTAGTCGCATAACCATCTCCTTCCCCCCACCCCATTTTCACTGAATGGAGGGGTTTTTAAAAAAAAAATGCAAAAACTTTTGTCTGAGCAGAATGCAGTTAGCTCACATGTTATTCTTGTCTGTATGCTTCACATTGTATACCATACCGATCTCTTCAGCTTCTCCATTGAACAGTTAATGTAAGTGAACAAGTTACGCCAGTGGGCTCTGGCGGGATGTCCAATCGAAGGGTGGATGAGGGAGAAAGGATTCCAGCACAGTGGAGGAAGAAACTGGTTGACATAGGAACGGGTGGAGGGAACGAATTGGGCTGCTGGGATAGATTAGGTTTGTAACTCTTGTTTTGATTCTATTTATTTTCTTTTTCTTTTTTACCAAATTTGGTGTTGTTTTTATCTTTGTCAATATTGCGTATTTAGGCAGCAAAGATGCCGTGTTGAGAATTTACATGGATGATGCACCTTTTTAGTGGTTGTACGAGACCAGCTATTTAAACGCCTGAGGGGGAAAAAAAAATACCTGAAATGACTAAGCACCTTATAACGGAATGGTTCAGCCAAGGGCGAGGCATGGACTCAGAAGTAAAAGAATACGGAAATCCCGACCAAAACCCCAGTGTCATCTACGATTATGAGCCAAGCCCTCAGACCAAAGTGATGCGGTCCTAAATGCTGCACGCCACAGGACCTGGACTGTAGTGACAATTAAAGACGCCTTGAATCTCCACCAGCAAAATCAACCTCAGGCTTAAGTGTTTCAGCCTGCTTGTTTCCCACGTAAATATGCAAACCTTTACTTTTCCTGAGTACATGAAGCCAGCAGCAGTATCAGCCATGATAAAGAGAGATGGGAGTACGTGAAAGCCATAGTGTTGTGGAAAGAACTCTCACAGAGCCCTGTCTCTCCCTGGCACCGACCATCCGTGTTTTAAATTTCTTTTTTTCCTATTTCCTTTTGAGTTTGTTTTTAAAGTGTGTAGGGCATTGGGATGCGTTTAGAAGTAGATCGATACCCCAGCAGCCTTTAGCCCAGCCCCTATCTTCCTCACTTACCCTAAAAGCAGCTGCCCTCTTTCTAGACACACCCTCCAGAGCTCATGGTGAAATGCATGTGTTAATTACAATTTCTTTTCCATAATAAGAAAAACAGTTTGAAAAGAGCAGAACCTTTAACTGATTGAATAAAAGGATGTTCTTGACTGTAAAAATCACTGTGTGGTTCATTTTTTGACCTGAATCTGAATGAAAGACAATGCAGCCCACTACAACAGGCTATGTCATTAATAACACCCTGAAAACTCTGAAGGACATCAAGTGGCACAGCTTCAAAAATTCTATACTGTCCCTTCTGTGTAACAATCTTGACTTAGCATCTCCTAGAAGAACCAACCTGTTTTGGGATGGAAAGATTATAGTATAACTTGCTTTCAACAACTTTATGATGGTAGGGCTCTAATCTTTTTTTCAGTTTACAAACTGAATTTGAATTGGAAAGAATGTCTTTTATATGTATTTACGATTACTTATTTAAAAAGGCCTTATGTCTTTAGAGGCCTCCCCCATTTGACTTATGCAAACAAACTTTAAATGGTACTGCCATTAGAACAATACTTTATATATCAATTATCATACATAATTATCATACATCATATGAAATTCAGGCTTTTTTATGAGCTGTTCATGAATTTATCCTAGCCCCTTACACAAACTAAATGTATTAAAGAAAAACCTTACATGTAGCATATCTGCAAACTGACATATAACTATTTATTATTTGCTTAGTTAATTTGTTAGTCCATTTAAATTTCTATTTTGTCTTTGTACAAAAACTAAAAAAAAACTGAAAAAGTATGGACAATAATTTATTGGACCAAATTCAGTGTGTGAATCTTTAAAAACTGTAACAAGTTAAATAAATACAGCAACTAATTCTTTTAAACATTTATTGGACTATTCCATGCACACCGTTTTGATTCCTTATAGTGAAGTCCCAGTTTGGAGCACCATAGCATATTATTATCGACTATACTTATTCTAAAGTCAACAAATCTTCTGACCACTAATGTCCTGCACAGCCATTTTGAGCACAACTGGGAAATACTGACTGTCATCTTTCAAACCATTTTCACAATTAGAAATCAAATATAAAATTACAGATTTGAGATATTTTATGGAATGCCCTTCGATGTAGATCACATGAAACATTCATTATGTTGAAAAGAACAAGCAATTCATTTCTGGGAGGAAAACAGTTTCACCATACACAATTATCTGAATTATTAACTATTTGAAAAACATCAAAAGACAGTTTTTCACAGCTGCTATTACAGTAATGTGCGAGTGAATGTAAGTAGGTGTTTCTAATTAGAATGACTGCACAGTGCTGCTTCTGTCCAAATGTTGCTTATAAGAAACATCAGGAACATCAATTGTGTTTGGCTTTAACTTTCAAACATCTCTACTTTCCAAAACTTTTATATACCACAAAATTACTCAGCAAAAAAACTGGTCATATACTTAAAAATTGTCACAGTGTAGCATAACAATACTACAGCAATTTAATATTACTTTCCAAAACATGTTTTCAGGCTGAATTCCTTTAAAACTACTAGCAAGTAATGAACTGAAAGCCCCACTATGCGTTTGCTTAAATGCTCCAGCATTTAAACTGTGGTCCTCGCTCACACGTTAACGCATACAGCATGGGTGCTAATTTATGGCGCCTGCACTTTCCGCAGGCCAGTCCCTCATGGATGGTAGATGTTGCCATGGTCACAGCACTCCCAGTCAATCAGCTCAGAGCGCTGGAACCATAGCGAGATCTCTTTTTGTGCCACCTCAGCAGAGTCTGATGCATGCACAATATTCCTGCAAACATTAATACAACACAGAAGAAAGTTCTGAATTAAATCAGCACCCAAAGAAAATTCCAGTCTAAAGCCAAAAAGCACTTGTCTGGGAAGATATGTAAGGGGTTATTAAGATAAGGGAGGGCTAGTTTGAGGAATGTAGAGACATTTGTAGATTCTAACACTTTATTTTGCATGTTGTTTATCTTCTGTAATTACTTGAAATAAACTTCTATTGTATAAAACATTGTCAGTAATGATCAGTAACTACATTCCAGAAAGTAAATTCAAACGTTTGACTCATGTATGTATCAGATTTCAAATATTTATTGACATGTCAGGCTAGAATTGAGACTATGAGTGCCTGGGTGTAGCCAAGGGAGGGTCGATTGATGTTTGTTTAAACAAAAATCCAACAAAAATAAATAAATAACAAATCATCTAATTACACTGCACTTTCAATACTGTGCCTACTGATAGTTCAATGAATCAATCATTAATAAAATAATCTAACAATTTTTAATTTTTTTGTTACTTATTTACTGTCAGGTGTCGTCTGAATAGGTCCATTGTTCTCAAAATAAAGAAGAGAAAGTGGGTCTGTTTCAACTACAGCTTTCTTGCTAGTTCAGTTTATTTTATTACCTGTTCAAAATAGCTGGTGGATAGCTCCATTCCATCAAATCAGTTGCAAAAAAAATTATGCTGAAGTCGGTATTCACCAGCTTTTTATTTAAATTTAAAAATGGTGCAGCATCAACAGACATCAAAATGTAACCATTTAAGGTGAAACAGAAAATCTGAATAAGAAGCTGGCAAATAGGAAACATACGCTAAATATATAGTGATATTTAAGCACCAAAATTCATACATAGCAGTGTTCAATGGTAGTGGAAGCGCTGGATGAGATAGGGGAGAAAAGCAGGCCTGGCTTATTGCTGTGATTAACAGTGTAACAGTAGCATCAGGTTAAAGGCTGACCTACACAAGTTACCTTGTGCCTGTAATAAAAAAGGTCCATTTTGAGGGAAAAGACCCACCCCTTCTCGTAGACTGGCTGTGAGTGTACGTTTGTGCGTGTGGTATACATACCTGCTAACATGAACGCTAAAGTCTCCTCTCAGCGTTCCAGGTGCAGCTTCCGCTGGGTTTGTGTGTCCCACCAGCATTCGTGTGGACTTCACTACATTGTGTCCCTCCCAAACCTGGAAAGATGTAATGAAGTCATCTGAACCTTTACCTACAGCTTTTCAATTCCAGAAATATTGACGTCAATTCTGATTCCAAGTAACAGGAAATGATGGAAATTCATAACACATTATGATTGATGGTGGTATGATTGAATGACAAAAGATCTTAACATATTAACTTAATGTCTTACCATCGGTTGTTCCTCAAGAACACAAGATGCTAGTTTGATATGACTTATTTGTCTTTAGAGAGTTAAATTAACTTGGCTATCTAACAGGTGCTTCCTAAACTGTACCTGATTCTCTTCTGTGAACTCCTTCACACCATTAGTATATGTTTCAGCACTGGTGATGTTTGACTGTAAGCCAACTTTTTGTTACAATTTTAAGTAAGATACATCTGGACTATTGATGTTTATATTGTGGAAGGACACACTTTTCAAACACTGACAGCAGAATATTTTAACACAGTCCAGGTGTGTGTTGGTGTGGGCAAACTTGAACATCACTTTGTGAAACTGATTCCAAAGCTTTGGAGTTGACTCTCGATTGCAAAATGCCTGGAATCTGAGAATTGGCTCCTTTTTTCGGAACTCCCGTCCTTACTCTTTGCTTCTACTTCATGACTACTTCTAACTTAGCAGGAGGGCCTTTACAAATCTCTGCAGACTTGTACTGAATGAGGAGGGAGTCTCTAAAAACATGTTGCAAAACAGCAGTAATGTTTAGGTCCATACAAAGTCCTTATTAGAAGGTCTGTCCACTCAGTGGCCATCTTAGCCATGCCCCTGGCCTGTAATTTTCAGTCACGAAAGACCAGGGGTCTCATCTTTCAACTGTTAATGCGCAGTTTCATGTGTAAACCTCACTGGTGCACGTTTTAATCAAATACATTTTTTCTTGTGCGTGAGAGTGCTTGTATATTTAGAACTACTCCTGACCAAACATACGCAGAAGCCCCTACTGGTAGAAAAGAGTGATCTCAGATAAACAAATTTCCATTAATTTTAAGCCATTTCAGCATAATATATGGAATAATTTAGCTAAATTCTTTAGCTCATACACTGTAAAAAAGTTTCATCAGTTCATGTAATTAAAGTAAAAAAAAATACTGTGGTAACAAGCAGTCAGATAAATACTTTGATTGAAACAAAGCAAAGTGTAATAATACTTCAGAGGACAGCTGATTTAGGCTCATAGCAAAGGTAAAGTACAATCATATAAAAGGAACATCTACAGATTATGTAGACTGTGGCGACCGTACGCTTTGGTGTGTTAGGCATCTTATCTTTTCCATCCACATTTTTATATCAGAAATTCAATGTAAACTAAACAATCAAAATATTAAAAAAACGTCTCCAAAATTGAAACTTTACAGGAAAAGGAAAAATGTTATTTACTTTAATTGTAAGTTAATGTAAAGAGATTTTATTCCAACTAATTTTTAAGCATGTCTACTGGTTCATTCATCAAGACATTTTCATGCAACATAAAGGGCAGCTACTGCGCTCAAATAATGTAGAGATGTTTTTTTAATTATTATTATTATTTTTTTTTAATTTATGGAAGAGCAGGACCTTCCCATGTTGAGTGTTATTTACTTTCCCATTCATTTTTCAACCAATGAACTGTCTCCTCCACCTTTATGATAACTCTGGCCAATACCAAGAGCGTGTCATCTTCCTGGCCATCATGGTCTAATCATCACACTGATGACTACTTTTTCTCCACTCTTCTCCATTTATTGAGTGGATTGTGTAAGAGGCTGGACTGGGGATCACAGTCTAGAGGGGTTTCACTGTTGTCTATGCAGTGCTTATCTAGAGAGGAAATGAGGTAGGAGGGCAGCAGTTTGGGTGTGGTTGTTTTACTGCAGAGAGCTGTTAGTTTGGCCCTCACCATGGCAACCACAGGGCCTGAGGTCATATAGCGCAGCAGGCTGGGGTAGAACGGTTTTCTATGAAGAGACGCATAATGCTGTGCCAGCAACTCCTCAGACACCTGAAACATGTAGGAAACGATCACTACTCAAAAGTATGTCAGGCACATTTCATTACCATTAGCAACAGAAATTTCCCATTATGTACTCATAGACAAACATTCAGGCACTGAGACGAAGCACTCACCTGCAGCATCTTCAGACCCACCAACTGGAAGCCTCGCTGCTCCATACGCTTAATGATCTGACCAATCAGACGCCTCTGGACCCCATCTGGCTTGACAGCAACCAGAGTCCTCTCTTTTACGCCTGGAATACCTAGAGCAGTGCCAGATTTCAACCTCAAATTTCACAGGCACTGTGAGACTGGGCAAGTGCTATATTAGACAGTAAAGACTCGTGATAGACTGATGTCTGCAGTTAGTGATGTGGTTTGAACAAGTATTTTTAAAGTGGACAATTGCGCCCTCTGCTGTCTAACTATGAAAAGACAATGAGTATTTCACTAACAATACTAATACTGGGTTGGTAAAACTGATGTACTGACTACCAACATACTGCTGTCATCTTATCAAAACCTCATAAATCCTCAGAGTTACAGCCAAAAGAAATAGTCCAAAAAATACTTGAAATTAAACCTAACTTAAATGCTTTTTCCTTTTTCTGTTAAATTCGAGGTTATGTCACTACATTAAGTAGTCACAAGTAGTCCCAACCAGTCCCAAAAAGTAGTATTGTAAAGAGTATTGTACCTAAGGATTATTTTGGAATATATGTGTATACGTACTTTACTTAAGTATTATTAAAAACTGAATATGTACTTGATTAAATCTCCTAGATACAAAACATACTTGTTTCTCTTCACATTTTCTTTCATATTTTCAAAATACAGACCTCAATGGCCAGGAGAATTTTCTCTCAGTTCAGCTGCTGCACATTTTATCTCACTTTTGTTTACATACTTGTCCATATTTTTTTTCTTTCACTCCTTTGTGGTTCCTTTTTTCCACTTTTACCTGTGTAACATTTAGATACAGTACCCACAATTTCACTTAAGTATAATCTTCTGTAGTTTTTCCACCCCGGCACTGTTATCTTTTGGCTGCTGTTGAGACACGCTCAGTACGGAGCCGTACTCATTTCTTCACATTAATCTTTTTCTTATGAAATGAAACACTTGAAACCTTATCATTTTGTCATTTATCTATTTTACTGACAAACAGATTTCCTAACGTCATCACTCCCCCAACTAAAATGTTAAAAAAGGCTGCTGGCCAGGTGAACTTTGTTCAGCTGGACCTACTTTACACTTTCATGAGTGTGCACTCGTACGTCTGCACGCGCTCACTCACATACGCTTGATTTAGGAGGAATTCTGCTGGACGTGATGTGCATGTGATCTCTACAGTCAGTGCTGATGCCTGATCAAATTAGGAGCATTCCACACACACATACACACACACACACACACACACACACACACACACACACACACACACACAGAGCATGTCTAAAACGTACACACAAACAAAGACGAAAGCTCTGATTGGATATCCAGCAGGCCAATCACCCAGCACTGTTAGCAGTGGACAGGAAAAGTGCATTTAAGGTTGCTGATAAGTTGTTTTAAAGTGACAATCGCCCTGAGGACAGATAAATATTTGGCATAGATTAGGGGTGAAGGGATGAGTTGAGGAGCAGATGAGCGTGTTAGAACTTGAGCAGTGTTGGAGTTTACTCCTGACTGTGGCTGCTGTAAGGAGACACATGCACTGCACGTGCAAAACTGATCTTAATTTTTAATTCTAATTTTGATTTTGGCCTTCACTTTAACAGAGAACTACTCTACATAATGCTGTGAAGCAATAAGAATGAATATACTCCAGTATATCTGTGTATAAGTGCTACACATGGACAGTATGATATTACATACAAACACTACAGATCATTACTGTAGCACTAATTCACAACAATATCAGTCTGACTTTCACTGTATGAGGCCTCAACATCCTGAACCATTTACACAAACACTGATTAAATAAGACATGTACCCTGAACCACACAGTAAAAGAGCTTCAGAATTAAGCACTACATGATTAAAGGTTTAAATGTGAAAAATTGAAACAGTAAAAAGTACATTACCTTCCTCTCTAATGTACTTGAATGTATGCACGTTCATTTCTGCCCAGTGAAGGGGATGCCCCCCCCAAGCTTCCTTTTTAGGCTGTGAAGTATCTCGAAATGATATCAAAATAATGACTTATTTTCATAAAAGAGATATTTTCTCAAATGTGTATGGACTTATTCAATATACAAATGGAATATTTGTATCTTGAGATGATTTATTTTCTGTAGATCAGCATTTCCGCAGACAATCCACATTTTTCCTTCATCCCTAAGCGATGGGAGTTCAGGTTCAGGGTTATAGTTTTTCATTTTTCATTAGTGTTTATTTATATTTAGTCTTTCATTTCATCATCATTTATTTAATTTTTAATTTTAGTTTAGGTTCAGTTAGTCTTAAGCGTTCATTAAAAGTTTGTTTTCATTTTATTTATGTAAAGTCATAGATGTAATTTAGTATTTATTTATTTATTTCAGTTTTAGTCTAGAGCATGATGGTTAACAGCTGTGACAGTAGGTATTTGATAAGCGTGGAATTAAATGAATTCAACAGACTGAGCTCAGCTCGGCTCGGCTCCAGCTTTCCTTAAAACAAACACCAACAAACTTCTAAACTCTCGTTCAGCACTGACAAAACTAAAACTAAAGTTTTTTTTTCTCAGTAATTCTGCTTAGTTTTTATTAGTTTTGCAGTGGGCATTATAGTTTTGATTTAGTTTTTGAAAACTAAATGGTTTTTATTTTTATTTCATTTAATAAGCACATTTGTCCACTGCTAGTTTTCGTTTTAAAAATAGTGTTAGTTGACTATAATAACCCTGGTTAGGGTGGAGCAAAAATAAGGACTGGGTTGGGAACCACTGCTCTAAATAACTACTTTCTCTAAAGTGAATAACAGTATTTCAACTCAAGTCAGCATTTATGTGTATATAAAATATCATAGACAGTCAACATTTTGACATACTGCTGCTAGAATGAGGGAACAACCAGGCTGTTTTTCCTCCTCTGCCTGGCAGGAAGGGACTCATTTGAAAATACTCAGTAAAGTGCAAGTCCATCAAAAGTTTACTAACACCTGCACACAAGTCCATGAACCTAAAGAAAAAGAACTAGTTACTGCCCAGCTCTGCTGTGTGTCTGTCAGGTCGGCTCCTGTGCGGACAGATACTGGATTTACTAAAAAGTCGTGTTAGATTTAAACTCGTCCACCACAGGTCACTGTTTGTTAAACGCACGCTGGACTGAACTCGGCCAATTGAGAGCACGAGAAAACTCAAGTGTACAATTAGCTAATCATTTTAACAACACACCACGCGGGGGCAGTGTGAGGAAACAGCACATCCTTCAGTCAAATACTGAGTCTGCACACAGTTAAAGTTTTAAAAAGATGATTATAGTGGTTCTCAGAGCGAATCGGATAGAAATTCCCAAATATTACCACAGAGTCATCCTAGTTTAGCTCAGTGGCGGTCATTTACCGTTTACAGCTATTTTTACCCAGACCGGACCGTCAGACTAGCCTCACAGATAATTTATACACACCAGAGATTGGGTAGCCTAACGTTAGTGCTCATTCACTGACGTGTTTGAGTCGAATTTAAACGGATTTTTATTTTCTGATTATTTTCAAACGATATAGTCACTCATGCTCAAAGCATGTTTGAGAGGAGTCGAACTGTCTCATACACGGTTCAGCCTTTCTCCTTCCTTTAATTCACCTCTTTTACTGAGAGCACTCAGGCTGTTCGCTACTGCTAACACCGCTCCCTTTCGAGCCTTTTATTTTCGACCAAAAACCCGACAAAAAGAGAAGAACAGCGCTACAAACTTAACTTCCTGGGCTGACAGATGCTGGATTTATGCTGATAAGAAGTTTCCTTTGAGTTATTTTACTCAGTACTGTAGTTGTTTTTATGACAGGAGCTAATTTTTCATTCCTGCTCAAGAGGACGAGTCTGGTTCGAATTTTCCCGTTCCACCTTAAATGGTGCAGCAGTTAGATTCTGACGCCAGAACGTAACTGCCGCACCATTTAAGGTGGAACGGTAAAATTGGAATAGGAAGACAACTTCTGCCTCAGCTCAGGAGGTGACTTTTCTACTTTTCTACTTGAGCTGGAGGTAAAACACTTTCACTTGACGGTGGTTTCCCGCGGCTCTACCTGCTCCACACACACATACACAAACACACACTCACACACGTACATACACACCTGAGGTAGTGTTGTGGCTCCGCGAGCTACCACACAACAAAGTGAGCTGGACGCGCGAGACCGGCCGCACACCGGGGAGGAGAAAGCGGTTCAACAGACAGAGCGGGGCCGCCGCCATGACCACATGAGCTGAAAGAGGGAAGAAAAGAAAGAACTAGTACATGAAAGGAAAAAAGACAGGACAGCAGCTCCTGGAGGACTGATTCGTCAATAAAAGTCCGACTGTTTACGTTTCACAGACGGTGAAGCCGTGTCACTGCCCTCGACCGCCAGCTCTTATATCACTTCTGTATCCCTCAGAGCCCCACAGAGGCTGACCAGTGCTGAGGGACTGCACGCGCACAACCGGTCATTCACCTGATGGACCAAACTCACGTGCCTAATCAGAGAGTGATGACAGGACTGACAGACTTGCTTTAAGGATGTCAGACCGAGGTCAGAGCCTGAGAGGAGAGAGACCCTAAAAGCTAAGGTGGGTTCAGGATGGCAGGTTTGCATTCCTGTCTTTCTGGAGTACAGAGCCCTGCTGGTGATGTCCCACATAAATAAAAATAACGTGTGGCCACGACTTAGTAAGGTGTGGGAACAAGATCCTAATGCAAGACACAGCTTAAGGCTTTGGAATGAGAAAATTAAGCCTTAACCACAGTTTAATAAGGCACGAACTCCTTCCCATGCCTTACCAAGTCATGGCCACACATTAGGATCTCGTTCCCTCGTGTTATTGTTATTTATACAGGATGTCGCCAGCAGGGCTCCATAGTGGGGCGTTTCTATTGACTTCTGTATTGCTGTAGTTAAATGCTGCTGTAGCTACACAGAATTATATCCTTTTTTATTTTATTTAAATGTCCCAACATCCACAAAGATCTAAGTACATGGTCACAGATAAAACCAGCTGCAGCCAACATGTCATACTATACATACATCACTAATGAACATTATGGAGCCCCTTAGGTAGTAAGTTCCTGTGTGTTGATTGCAGCCCCAACTATTGGCTAAATGCACTGTGATGAGAGTTACAGTACTCAAACACACTTCTAATGGGAAAGACAATGAAGAAAAGTGACTTGAAATCCATTACTGTAGACCACCAGAGGCAGAGACCATTCTGTTCTCACTGTTCGTTAAACATAATTACTTAAATGATGCCTTTTCCTGTTTGGATTGTTGAAGGGCCAGAGCATGAAAATGAGGTCTCTGAGCAAACCCTAAACCACACACAAATCAATGTTTAGGCTGATCCAAGGTCACAAAACAAACATTACCCTTGATCGTGGAACAAGTGGATAGAGTGCGAGTGAGAGACTGATCATGTCTGACCACAGATCATGCCATGTAACAGTTACAAATAAATGTCACAATCCTGACACTGACAAAGTTCAAAGTTGCATTTTGATTTACTACTCCTACACTTTGACAGCTGAGAAGCCTCTCCACTCACTAGTTCAAGGCCTCATGAAATATAAGCAGATTAACTGCCATATAAAAAGTTAGAAGTAATTTGTGTTTGTTTATTCTATGTAGCTATTAAAGTATAAGCCTAAAGTGGCCAAATCATCTGATTAGTTATGTTGCTTCCAGCTATAGATACTTAATAGCTCCCAACTAACGACAGACTTGGCTCCAGCTCAAATAACCTCATTTGACATCAGATGTGATATTTCAGTTAGGAGCTGCAACTTTTGTTAAGACCAATGACCCATCTTAATACATTTTCACATTCTGTTTGTTGTAATACAAACATGATTGAAAGGCTAACAAATGTGTAAATAAATTGTGGTCAGCTTAAATAATTGCAATCGGGCAATTATGTAATAATTGACAAAGCCTACCGATTGCACTCTGTAACATACATCAGAGTAAAAAAAAAATCATCCATATAAAATAGGCCCAGAATGGCCATAACTGAAAACAACATACTACACTATGGACATAATATACTACTAAAATAACACACTATTCTACATACTTCTACATACTACTACGTACTACTCCCCCTCAGCCTCTACAAAAAAAGTCAAGGCTGGTCTCAGACAGAATCAGAATCAAGTATTTTTATCAGAATCTTGAACAGAATAAAAAATGATTAAAGATTAAATACAGTTTGAGTGGATCAACATGTTGGGACAGCAGTCAACAAAATGATATAGTTAGACTATAAAAGCTGAACTTGCTTTTATAAACAAACCCTTGATTCCCTTGACTGAAAAAATATAAGCTTTGGTATTTTTCTTTGGCCAACTTACAGACTAAACTCAAAACCTGGGAATCAAAATAAACTCCTGCTTAAAGAATGTAAAAGCATTTGGAAAACACTTTTAGAATAGTGAAAAAGAACGTCTAACCTTTAAGATTTTATTTCTCGCTACTTTAATGGAACACTGGTTACATGACTTAAAGGAGCGATTAAATGAGCAGCAAACAAGTTCTTCATTATAAAACTTTATTGAACGTTTGTGTCTCCTGAATCAGGATGGAATGATATGAAAGGAGTGAGAGTCCGTCTCAAAGGAGATGAAGAGAAGGCGCTAAAATCAAGACATTTGACAAAAAGAAATCTGGCGCTCTGAATCATAGCAGTCCACTTAAAAACCATTTTTCACTCCGTCTCATTCACCATCAACCCAATCAAGAGTCCATCTTAAACAGCTTTAAACTGCAATTGTTCGTTACAAACCGCATTCGAGTGCTTTCAACTGCACCATTCTTGTTAAAAGAACACTGCTCTCTGATCAAAACATAGGAGGGCTCTGTAGAAACACAGCAGTGAAGCTTCAACCAGAGTGCTTACAAACCGAAACTGATCATTTCAAACACCACCAAGGTGCTTCAACTCGCACTCACTTTAAACCTTTGTCAAGAGCGCTCCGATCTCCATTGCAGCAGTGGAACGTACACTTTGGCCTTATGATCATTGGCAACGTGTGAAATTTTGCTGAAATAAACATAAGCTGACTAACAAACCCCGTAGCAAACGGGGGTGTGGCTCTTATGACACGCCCTTAAAAAGATCATAGGCTGGCCCCTAGCAAAGGCTGTGGCTTGATCACTACAGTGGAAGTGATCGGCATCCTTGCACAGACGGGCCATGTTTGGCTGTGCGGCAAGTAGGGCATGTTGCTATAGTTTCAGGGTCCCTGGTGGCAAGCTTCCATTGCACAGTCTGTAGAAACGCAGGTCGTTCACCAGTCTGTACACTCCCTGAGAAAACGATGGCAGGTCCTAGAGAGACAGACACAGAGAGAGAGAGAGAGGAAATGACGCAACACGCAAGAAAGTCTTGAAAAGATTCAGCTTGACAAGCTATGCAGAAGGCTGTAATATGTAGATTAGCCCGTAAACAATCGCTACGTTTTATTAGGCGCTGTGAGTGCGAAATATAGTAGATTTAGTGGTTTTATTCATCAACATTCTCTCAGTACGATACCCGGCATGTATTATGCAAATGTCATACAACCATTAGGACAATACAAAAAACTAAACAAAGCTAAGCTGTGGAACCACTGTTACAACGGATGTAGCAATGGTAAAATTTAAATGTTGGCCAGAGTTTCCCTTTAATATACAAACATTTCTGCTTTAAGGGAAATTTCTATTTATTCCAACTTTAAAATAAAGAGTGTAGTCCAAACACTCACCCTCTCTGGTGTGAAGTTGCGAGCGAGCGTTGTGCGTTGGTGTGGGTCGAGGCCTTGGCAGCCATTGAGGAACTCTGGCAGAAACGAGGAATAGAAAGCTTGGAAATCTACAGCGGCCATGTTGTAGAGGGCCAGAGTGATGTCATCCTGAAGAAGGTCGTGGCTCTTGTGCAGGAGAACTTGCAGCAGCACGTTAATAAAATGGAACAGCATGGAGCTCCGAAACAGCTTCTGAAAAGACAAGTGAAATCAGCATATTAAGGGGAGGAGCAATACAAAGATTTAGAATATTCAGAAGGACCTAAAATGTTTATGGATCTAAAACTTTACTGAAAGTGTCCAAGTTTCTCACCCTATGATACAGTTTGTGTTTGCTGTTAAGAACCTCCAGATAGCGCAAGTTCTGTTTGAAGATGTGGATATCTGGCTGTAGGAAGGACTGTCCAAAAGCCTGTCAACCAAAAATCACATAAC